TATAATAATACTTAACTTAATCTTTAAATATTTATCTTGTTTGACTCGTTCTGATTTCGGCCGGTAAACTGAAACCAATTTTTTTTTTTATTAAACTACCATCCTGGTAAACAATACATTCTTGTATGAGCAATAAACACGTTAATTTATAGCTCTGACCGCGTGTGTAAATAGAATTATGGAATAGACTCAGGCATGTTGAGTCAGGTTCTTCGAAAATGTTGACAGCTAATCTAACAAGGAGTTGAGATTTTCTAAAGTTACAGCCCTTTTCTATTTTTCATTACGAAACCAGTTATTTGAACATAATATTATTAATAAAATCAGTGTTACTAACATAGTATAGTGACTAGAGAAACTTATGTAAAACCCCTTAGGAAATGTAAAACCCCTTAGGAAGATTCGACCACCATTTGTGACGACACCATCCACAAAGCGAAAGCTGATAATTTTTTTTAGAGGTTGTCATTGGTAACTTATTAAAGATCTTACTTTAAAAAAAGTTTTAGTGTAAATTCATTTAGATTATGAGATTAACGTCAGTAACCTTCAGGTTTTATAGTTTTTATAGGAAGGCTAAATTTTAACCAGAAGAGACGAGTTCGAGTATAAATTTGTACGTATAGTTTGGCTCTCTCGAAGAATTGAAGGTAAGTCGTAAAATTCTTGAAGAATTTAATCTATTTTTTTTATTACACCGATATAAAAAGTCAAACTTATTTTCAAAGGTAAAAACATAGATTTATAACCATAAAAATAAGTTTGAGATTCTAGAATATTTTGATTTACGTATGTCCAATTTCATAGTTCTAAGTCTATGGGAAGTACGTTAGTGAATACATTGGTTCAAATATAATGCTCTCTTTCGATTGTCTTGAATTAAGAGTTTCATATTTTTAAAGCTACAAAGTACCGTAGGCGTAAATTCTTAATGTTAATTTTAATTTTATATTTCCAACCGTTCCTGAATCAGAGTGCCTTGACAGGCCTTTTATTTGGAATTTTATTTGGTTCCGAGGTATGGAACTAAGTATTCATTGTGAGTATCATCTTACGACAACTGCCTACACAGTCCAAATAAACTACAATTTAGAGTTCTTTTAAAAGTGAGGCTTCGGGGATAAACATTAAGATTTTATTTGGACCCCAATAAAAAGACACACCATTTCGTTTTTACAATACTTTTCAGAAGAACCTTTTTCACATGGGTTTATTTTTAGGATTGTATTTTAGGTCTTTGCTAAGAAACTTAGATATATAAATACAATACATATAAGACAGAAATAATTTAGTAATTCACAAAAAGTCTTTTTATACAAAAGCGTCTTAAACCTGTAAAAACTATATAAGTTAGCCAGTTTCGTATGGTTAAAATAAATTGTTCAACAGCCCTCATTAAATAAATTATGACATAAGAAGGTAATTTAGTTAACATCAATTTCTGTTATCAAGTCTTTTGTTTGAATGACTGCTTGATTTGACAACGTCTAGCTATGATTTCTTAAGTTTACTTACATAAAATAAAATTATCTGACATTCTGACAGTCTGACATTTAATAAAGATAAACTTATTGGAATTGATTGACTAACACCATATTAATATAAAATCATTTGCAAGACATGTTAGTTGGTAATTTTTGAGATATTGGTGCTAATTCTGTTGTTCGTAAACTAAACTAAAAATCGCTAAAAATAAATTTTGTCCTGTCAAATATTACGTTTTCAGAATAGGAAACGTTGTTTGACAGGACTAAAAAATTCTTTAGTGTTTTTTAGTTTAGACAGTTTTCAAACAACAGAATTAGCACCATTGCCTACAATATGTATTCAATAATCATAGATTATTTTTATATAAATTTATTGAATTACACACATTATATCATGAATTATAAGATATGAAGGAAATGTAAGTACAATATTTTAGAAAATAATAAACACTCATTCCTTAGGGTTACTTCAGGTTTTTATAGTAAACCCTTATGTTATTAAAATAATTAATTAATCACGGAAAACCTCATTCAGATACAATAAGCATAAACCACTTTTCTAATGCGAGGCCTATGTCCAGCAGTGGACTATTAAAGGCTGTTGCTGAAATCAGAGGAATTATTTTTCTCATTTTTTTTATCTAATTCTCAAATACCTACACGCAAATGTACAAAACTGTATTAAACTTTTAAAAATGCAGGATCCTTTATAACTCATAAATTTTAAATACTCACTTAGCATTACAAAGTTAGGAGTACCTTTGTAAAGACCTCGACTCGATGTCGTATTAGACGAATGTATTTCAAGCTGTACTTCTGAATTTCATTAATCTTAACCCGTATAGTTAAGTAATGGTAAAATCAATTAACTTTTAAGTAATGGTAAAAGCCAGACAATCATCAGCATTGTAGATTAGAAATCAAACTTTATTTATAAAAGGGTCTAACATAAATAAAAAAAACATAATTTGATCCTGCTCCTGTGGCCTAGTCACCGCTAATAATGGATCACAAAATCTAGTAGGTGAAAGGTACTTAAAAAAATCAACGACTTTTATTTTTTTCTTAGTTAAGAGTTGTTCAACACCAATTGTCATATCGCTAAACCAATCTGCATACTGATTATAGATTCTTAACATCAACTTTCGCTCGAAATTTAAACTGATGGTGACTTGCTTAATTCAATTTTTGAACTCCGGTAATCTCTCTTGTAGATATCCCAGATAGTGTTAATCAAGAACAGGTTAGTAGACTACTTAGTTTGTATTCATTAATTATATAAAGTCAGAGTGACTCAGAGTAAGTAGTGATCATTCATTAACATAAATTATTTGAAAGTCAAGGTGAAATTGTGATAATTAATTTGTTTTATTATTTAAAAGTATATTATAATTTACGCTACGCTACTACTAGCTAGCTTGCAACTGTTTTAAGCGCAGGCCCTTCTATTTTAACGTTTAATATAAAGAAACTAATTTATGTGATAGTCAAATATCGTAGTGGAAAAATTCGCGTATAAAAATAAATATTTTAAAAGTTGACTTGAGAGACCATATTCAAATTATGTTAAGCTGATTTGATTAGGAAATATGTTCAAGTCGCTAGGTAGGTGCGATTTTTAGGCCTCTTTATCAATAAAAACAAAAGGTATGATTCTGAAATGTGTTAATAATATATGTATATTTAAAGTTCCATTCATTTTAGCCTATGGTTGATAAACACACTGCTTGTAAGCCATTTTACGTAAACGGTTACTTAACAAATTAACAGACATGCGACAGTCATGTTTTAAAATGGGTGTAGTCATTACTTTTCCCTGTAAATTATTTATTATTATTATGTAAATATTCTAATACAAGAACTTTAACATGGTAATAAATTGAATGCCCCTAAGTGCTCTATATCACTCGTGTTTTATGTGTGAACACCCAAATATTCGAAATATTTTATACCGAATTTCGATGTTCCGATTTTCAAAAGTTCGAATGTCATAATACCTAAGAATTTAAATGTCTATTATTAAAATTCACAAAATTTATTTTACCGATAGACGGCAGCGGCCGCCGAGCGCCAGATCCCCTCTATCGTTGGTGAATCATTTGGGTGAAGTTAGGTTAGACCTGTTGAAAATGTTTTTATTCGAAAGGAAATAGAATGAATTAGAATTTTTGATGTTTCGAATTACTATTCAGTATGACTATTTGTTATTCGATCTATGAAAACTCGGTATTTTGAGCATAGTAATTATAAACGTTAGTAATATTGAATTTTTCGAAGTATAAAAATAGGATGAATGAATAAACGCAGTTGTTTTATAAGGAATTCGAAATTATGAAAATCGGTATTTTGTAATTCGTATTTGTGACTGACGGAATAAAGTTTTTCGTATTTGTGTAATGTACCCATTTTATGTATATATCTAAATACTTAAAATAGAGTGGGTGAAGATTAGTTGGCAGGCTACTAAGAATACGTTCATGTAGTTGAAAAATCTGTATTCTTTTTTTAGCGAATTGAGCGATTTAGTTTGCACTACATTCTTATTCAGAATTAAATAATACAATAACTCTTTATTTAATTCTGAGTTCAAAAAATTGTTAGTATGAGACTGACTAGCTTGAACTATTTCTTAACGAACTTATTGGCTGATTGATTAGTTTATTCGTATCCCTAGATTTTGTAACAATTTGTTTTCTTTGAAAGTCATTTTTCGAGATTAACCAGTTACACAAGAGAACATATGCGAGGAATATCGGTTTGAATTAGAGAATATTGTCCAAATATAATACTAAAATGTTGCTGTAATTTTATGTCTTTTTATGCGGCATAAAATCAGAGGCGTCTCAGGATGATATAAATTAATGGAAATGTGTATTTAAAATGCATTACTGATGTATTACTATGAATTGTTAGAACATCTCAAATTGATATTTATTTACGGTTTAAGGTAGAGAACGGTTAAAGTACCTTAACTGTCTCAAATACTTCTTCAGATACTTTGAGATACCACAGTATTTCAGTATTTTTTGGGTCTACTTTTAAAATATTATTATATAATCCTTTCAATCACTTTGAAGAAGCACTGACGTGCTCAAAACTAGCTCTCGGGTTTATTATTTGACTGGCAGAAAGCTCTCGTCCGTTTAGTTCGTTATTTGAAATATAATCTTGTAAGCATGTTTCATTGGTACTGTATTTCAAAGTCTACTTTAATCATCGAACTTTCTACGAAAAGAAAGGACATAAATAAAATGAAATAAAATATATTTAAGATTTAAAGTTATGTGCAATGGCAAAAATTAATAGTTATCCTATTTCTTTTAACGGAAACGAGGCAATTCACAGCGGGGTGATTAGTGTCATGCCTTTCTGGTTCATCTTTGTCTCGAATAAACTATTTTATAAAACCGAAGTACCGGTGTGTTTGGTTTATTGTGATTAAATAAGATCTAACAACAATGGTGACATTTTTTATCCTGCTTACCTGGAAAGAAGACAAGGCGATGATATTTACTAAGCACCAGCGTTTCTCTTCTTAGGTATGCTGAAAACCAACATGATTGTTCGTATTTCATTTTCAAAAGGCCTTCTAAGGTATGTGCAGCTAATATAACTAATTGAAGCAAGGTCTATTTACTTTCCAAAACTAAGAAGATAGGAGCTATTTGACGGCTGTCAAGAAAATACTGCATCATATTACGTGCTCTCGATTACAATCAGACGATTCAGCACATACTGCAAATCGGATTGGCTAGCTTTGACAAGAATTTGAGTAAGTCAATAATTCAAGAACCACACCCACCCATCCGGACACAACTTTTCTGAAGCTAAATTCACCCATATCCTGACAAAGTAACTTCCACTAAATCCAAGTCGTTTGGGATAGTACTCGTATACGACACTTAAAAATCGATGAACCGATTATGTTTGTGTCAAAATAAACCAACTTCAATGGCTATCTGTTCATCTTATAGATGATCGAAGAGTGTAGAAACGATGATAATTTGGAACCTACAAAAGCGAAATTTAAAGCTCTAATTTAACTAAGTAAGTTAGTGGTCCCCGTGGCATCATTCAACACGACGACCAATATTTTCATATGAGTTTGTAATCAGCCCCATTTTGTAATAGTTAATTGCTGATATAAACTGAATATATGTATGATTAAAAGGAATCGCAGCAAAATATGATATTTTTAGTGACTGTTATAGTAGTATTCTACAAGAATATGCAAAAAGAAAATACTTACTTGGGCTGTATTAGATGAAAAGGCATTTTTCTCACAGCTTCTTCAGCGATGTCTAGCGGGAAGGCAAACTCTATCATATTCTCATTAAGGCAATCATTATATATAGATGCCAGCTGGCACCTATCCGACATGCCCTCAATGCTGTCGAGGCAGAGCCGAGAGACGGTGTTCAATTTACGAACTACGCGAGAATTCTTGCCGTTGACTAAGCTGGCCAGATGCACTAGCAGTTCTCGGTTAACCTATAATGGAAATAAATACTTTTTTATTATTATTTTTCCCAAAAATATATTCAAATATGCTGATATGGTCATACTGGAATTCCAGATTATTTTAGTATATTTTTAAGTATTATTAGTACACGTATTAAAAGTGTTCAGAGTACTTAATGGTATCGTAATCGGTAAAGTAGTACATGTATGTACATTTTATTTTATTTCTTTGGTTCGATTCATTATTATCAACCTTTTTTGACAGGCGGCTTAAAGGCTATTTTTGGTATTCTATTAGGTAGCGTAGCTATTTCATTGTTAAGAGTGCTTTTATAAAATAATAGTGTAACCCAGTGAGTTTAAAAGTATGTAAAAAATAATACAACCTGCAGATTAATTTAGGCCAAATATTCTAGGTAAGTAATTTGAAAAATGCTCAGATATACGACTGAAATGAGAAACTCAGCTAAGTACAAACGAGATTAGGTTTTGCGTTACTTGTACTAAGGCTTAGTACAAGTAACGCAAAACCTAATCTCGTTTGTACTCCTTGAACTTATAATTTCAAAGCAAATAAATACACACTTGCGAAGTGGCTATTACCTACTTTAAAAACTATTTATCGTTGTAATGAGTAAAAAGCGTCTTGCCTTGCCGTGATTGATAACGTCGCTTTGCTCTAACATGCAGGCAGCGAAGCATTGGCCAGATCTGGAAACTGGGGATGAGTTGGTGAAGTAGGCCCTCACATCCTTTGGAGTCGCTCGAACCTTGATCACGCAGGATTGTGCCATCCGAACAAGTGCATCTAAGTGGCCTTGAACCTTAAAATATTCAGCCAGACAGACATAGTTACTTTCGCATTTTTAATATTAGTAAGAATGTAAAAAGTTTTCAACTATCATGTGTTCTGATTTAGGTTATCTTTATATTGTATCGTAGTGTAATGTTAAATAGAATCTAACCTTCTTGAAGGCCATTTAATACATTTTTTATTATTATTTCAAAGTGTAAACATATTAATGAGATAATTTTTAAATACATAGCATTTCCTAAGCCACGAAAGTTTATAACGAATGCTTAGGGTGCAAATGCGAATGCTTTAAAAACATTTTAGAATTCAAATGGTAACTACTATTTAAATGCTAGAGAGGCTTAGTGTGTAGCATAGTTGAGCAAAAAGATCAACTGTTGGTCGTTATATCAACACAATATGTAGTATAGATTCTAGACGCGTATATGTGATCTCTTCGAACAACTGCAATCGGTTTAGTCTTAAAACATTCAAGTTGCAAAATACCATAGGGTTGCAAAACGTTTATATCTCATAAGATCCAAATCTTGAAATCTCCAAGTTGCAAAATATTTACATCGCAAAACAACAACAAAGTCCCGTTTTCCTTCAGAGACTTGTGGTATACCTAGACTTGCTCTATCAGTCTGGGAACGATTATATTAAAAAGAAGGGTTATCATCAAGCAGACGGCTGGTCATAAATCAAACTAGCCATAAATCTAGTTTGCACAGACCAAAAAATTTAAAAATACCATAAAAGTATTACAAATTGATATTAGTTTACCTACTTAATAAGTTTCTTTATGTATTCGCATTCGTTATTTGTTATAAGGTTCTTGCCACAATATTCTAAACTTACTTTAGGATCCGCAAAGTCAACTAATGTTCCCGAAGATCGTTGCACTCTAAACCCCGAAACAAATGGAGCCAAACATAATATAATCTGTAGTAACTGCATGATACTGTAAACAAAAATAATTATTTTGAAAACATATTAATTTTAAATTTGCTGTAAGGATTTTCCGGGTGTTACAAAGAATGCTTACACAATTTTATGTTAAATTTTCACGAGAAAGTTATGCGTTGGGAAGATATATAAAATTAGAGATTAATAGTTGCACGAAACTGCGAGCCGCTACAGAATCAAAAAACATGAAATGTGCTTTTTGTGGAATATTAAATATCACATACGTAATCACTTTTGACATCCTACTACTTGTAAATGAGTCGATGAGTTCTATATAGTTTTATATTTTGTAATGATTATTCACGATTGTTACCTTGTGGTGTAATCGGCATGAATTAGGACAATTCATACTGAAATATTACCTGAGCTAGAGAGCTTATTAAATAATTCTGTATATTGAATTCCGCTACAACACACTTAACAGGTACAAAAACTTACACTTATTCATAAAGAAAGCTTTTTCGTTAACTTAATGTTAATCAAAAACAAGGATCATTTATTTTTTGAAATACATTAAAATTGGTAGATGGTGAAAATAAACAAATAAAGGAAGTATTAGTGAGTTTCTGGTCGATGAAATCGGGCGGGACTTGTCCCCGACAGCAATCATTACTGCCATGCTGGCGCGTGAGGAGGGCTGGGGCGCAGTGTTCTCTTTCTGTGAAGCTGTAATGCTCCAGAAAGAGAACGCTGAACGGGATCGGGAGAGGGCCGATCCCGAGCGAAGAAAACGTCGGCGGCGGAATGAGCAGACGACGGGACCGCGGGCCCCCAGAGAGTGCGGACCTCTGGTGGCAGATTAATTGCTGCGGATAGGATGGCAGCCTAATCGCACTGAAAGTGTGATCGGGCCGCAACATCTAGATAGGTTGAGAGGCAGGGAGAAGCCACTGGATTTCCCTGAGATGGGGCCTAGATAGGTGCGGCGTCGATCTGGGGGACCTGAAATCACATGGCCCGGGTTCTCCCCAGAGCAGGGCGCCTAAGACTAGTCGTCAGAGTGGTTTTTAGTGGAATCACCACATACTCTTGGCTCCTATATCCACAAGGATCCGGAGATCCGAAGGGATTTTCCAATCCGTCAATAAAAAAATAAAAGGCTACGTTAGTGTTGAACACATGTGTAAGTAGCGGAGTTATTTACATTTTCTATAATAAATTGCAATCTGTATATGATATCATAAAGACATTTTTTTTATATAAGATAGAATATTAGTAATAGAGTTATAAAATATTTGCCCACGAGACTTAGCGTAACGTAAGCGTAACTTAAATTTATAAGAAAATAGCTTTCACTGTGACTTAGATTTTCTATTTTAAATTTTAACAAGCGACGGCGATTTTATAAAAGATACTTTATATTCCCTGAAAACTTATATCTATCGTTTCATTTAAGCCCTATGCTTTAATCTGCCCCACGGATAATTTACAGGGAAATTGCATTATCACTGTATGAGTGGTTAAGGTGTGATAGTCAACAAACATTTGCATTTATTATGTTATTGAAGATTAAATAAAGCTTTAATCGAAAGCTCATTCTTACTTAATTATAGATTAATCGTATCTTTTATTCATTATTGATTTTCATTTCTGACTGGCAACGCTTCTATTTAGGTTGGTGCCGGTGTAATCAATCACTGTCGCCTATCGCACACCTTTACGGCAGATTTTTTCTATTTTCAGTGTCTAAATCACTTTCAATGCTTTATTAATTGAATTGTCAATTATTTCTAAAAATAGAAATGATGAGATGTATTTTGATGATTTTATACTTAGGGCATACTGAAAGTTTCTGGATTCTGATAAATAAGACTAAATACGAGTTTTTGGAAACAAGAAGAAGTCGTAGGATGCGAGGTTCGGGCTGTAAGGCAGATACGTCATCAGTTCCACATTTGAAGCCTTCAAGTAGGCTTATGTTGCCTTAGCGGAAAGTGAGGATTCGTTATCGTGGTGAAGGAGGACATTGCTTCGAGGACGCTTTTCGCTAACTTTTTCTAAGACTCTGGGCAAGTTAGTGTTGACATACCAATCTGCAGTCACTGTCCTTTGATTTTCAAGCGATACTGTAGTGTAATGTCCTGATTTACCGAAAAAAGAAGCAACCATGTTTTTACCAATGCTTTCACTTTTCTTAACTTTCGCTCGGCAAATCTTCAAAAGGAAAGACAAACTCGGCCGAGTGGCTTTCTTTTTCGGGTTTAAAGCAGTATACCCAGGTTTCATCACTTTTCACGAGATTATATACAGCCAATGACTGTCCTTTTTTATCATTTTACAGCACCACTGGACACGCAGTTTCCTATCCTCCGTTAAGTCATGCGGTATCTTTCGAGTGCAAAGCTTCCGAGTCTTCAGATGCACATGTAAAATATTTTGCACTTGGCTCATTCCAATGCCTAATAATGCCTAGTTTCAATAAGTTGTCGTACGGTGATAATATTAGAGTATGTAATCGCAGTCGCTGGCCGAACTAAACGTACTTCGTCATAGAGATGATCACGTCCACGTCTAAATTCTCCAGCCAGAAACTTTCAGTGGGCATACTGTTTTAATTTACACGTAAATTAAAACTTGACTTACTCATTTTGTAACAAAATCAGATCCTTTTTTTTTGTAAATACCTCTATACTACGAAATAAAAATACCTACACTACACTTATGCCTGTATTCTAAGAGAGTTAGTAGATGTGTATTAACATCCACATTTTCAGTGTCCGTGTGGTGACGGATTAAGAATACGGAGTGTCACCACCCCTATTCAAGGGGAAGGATACATAAATTACGTATTCTGTTAAAATAAGTTGGTCAACGGGAAACCAGTTTATGCCAATGATATTGCCTTGTTTCTTAACGATTTTTTATAGAGAAGTCTGAGCAAGTCGTAAATTTCCCCACTCAGTATATTGCATCATAATACAGTTATATAGCTGTTCTCTCTTATTATACCATTTCAGCATACAAAACCCATATAAAATGGAGCCTGTCAGCTAAAATAAAAAAACTCAAAACATTTCATCGAAATGAAATTTCAGCAATTTATTGTCACTGATGTGGTTTTTAAATTAACTGCAAAAGAATCACATTGATTTTAATGACAGTCAGACAGATATATATATATATATCGACGGTAGTAACCGATTTTGTCTTATTCTGAAACATCCAATAACATAATAGTTTTACCTTTAGGTCAATTGCTGAGATACGACTTTTCAGCTTTCTGCCGTCGATATTCTCTCATATATTATTATATATCTATAATGATTTAGACTTTAAACAATCTGTCTAAGGGACGTACGAGATTTGTTTTATTGATTAATTTTGTGATAGTGCAATCCTCAATACAATTAGGTAAAAAAAGGGCTACGTGCTCACCAAAATGCTACCAAAAAACTATCTTGTATTTCGGACCAACCATCCGTCGGGCAACCAGATGCCTCGATAGAGCTTACAAAACAATTGTTGTATCCTTGAAATGAAATGAAATGATGATGAAATGAAATGAAATTGACACATAAAGAGGTCAGGTTTTCTAACTGGCTCTATTTATTACGTAACTAATATTATACAAGATGAAAATGTAAAAGCATAACAGAGTGCTTCAGAAAGGGGTGGTTAAATTTTGGGAGCGTATGTGTAGTCGAAAAATGTGTGAATAAGCTTTAAAAAACTGAATAGTAAAAAAATACGTTCATCGAAAAATGCTTATAAGTATGTCAACTAGTATAGATGAACATTAAATATTGTGAATTTTCGTGTAAATTTTAATCATTTTGGGTTTTTATTATTTGTATTATTACTATTTCCATAAAATCTGGGCATTACATGAATATTATTGGTTTAAAATACCTCTATTTTTAATAGTATAAGCCCTTCCATTTACTTAATATTAGTTTTATGGGTCAAATTTAAAGATTATGTTTCAAAATATGGTTTTATCACGCATTTACCTAAAACCATTAGCGCTTTACATAATTTACGGGGGAGGCCCCGAATATACGAACATAAATAAGACTATAGGTACCATTTAACTACTTTAAAAACTTTTCTGTTCGTATTAATACATGTTTCTGTGTTTTACTATTCCTGGTATTAATAATTGATAAATAAGTGGAATGTTATTAAAATATGGTTCAAACCTTTTTGTTTTCATTTAAAAAAAATAGGTACAATATTGCCTATGTAATTTGCGATTAAAATGCTTACGACGTTGCAAAAGATTCTCATTTATGCATGAATGATTAAATATTTTCTCTAAACACACATCTCTCTAATCCAAAAATCTAAATTATTAGTTTTGTATTCTTGAATATATTAACCGATTTAAAAAAAAAGCAAGGCCTTCTAGAAGAGGTAGTTATTTATATAACAACACACGAAAATTTATCATACAAAAAACAACAATATATAAATATAATTTAGAAATATATCTACTTACACGTAAATGCAAACAGAAATAGATCCCAAACAGAATGAAAATCTTATTTTGAGGTTCCTCTTGATTCAAGTATTTCACGCTCACCTGGTATATTCACTTAGACAGCAAGACTAATGCATTTCCAAAAATGTATCGTTTAAAGCTTATAAAACGTATAAGAAACTCATTGTTTTGCGAAAATGGAACAATTCTCATTGTTGCGAAACTGCTCGGTTGCCTTATTTTTTTAGTTTCACAGAGGCCAGATGGTTTATTGAATACGTAACCGTTTGCTTTTTTACGTCCTTGTGGTGTCAACGGTACGTGAACGATGTTGAATTTCATTGATGATTGTTTAATGTTGTTTGTATCTTTTATCACACATACATAAGTGTATTTAAACGTCCATATTTTCTTAACTATACTTTTAGTGCAATTTACGTCATAGTGGGCCTATTACCGTCAACCGTCAATTGAAAATACATTGATAGGAAAGTTGATAAGAAGGGGTTACCAATAGTGGGGAAAATATATTGTTTATTTGGATTGATTGAAGAAAGTAAGCAGTAGTTTG